GAATGTTTGTGGAAGAACGAGTTCTCACATGTCCCTTCGGTGTCGGTTTTTGGAAGTTGAAGAAGAGAAGGACGAGCACATGAAACTCTTCCCATAATCTTTCGTTTCCGGAGCGACACACACGCACATCGATTGTATTGACGCGTGTTTTAGAAGTCCACGGAAGGAGAAGCGCGCACCATGCCATGTTGTCCACGAGGTTTTGGTAAAATTCAGGAAGAGAGGGCAGGAGCACACGCCATCGGGCAGTGTACCTGCATTTTTTGTTAAAAAACATAGAATGCTGTGGAGTGTAGAAGACAAGAAGCCAGAGGACGCGGTGAGGTTTATATATCCGCCAGGCTGACACATAAGTGCTTCAGAATTTCGTTTTTCACTCCATGTTGGAATTGCTTAATTCTTTGGGACAGACAGGCACAGCTCATGGCATATCTCAGGCGTAATTTGACTGCTTCTCAGCCATGCCAGTGATTCCCGGAAGTTTTGGACACCACATGCTTCATCTGTCTACAGCTTTGGACAACAGCGACAAGTCATTCGTGCTTTTCGGGTAAGTTTCTCGACCGGCCATCGTCATCTTCGACTACAATTTCTCGACTCTTCCCACAGCCATGGCGTCCATAGTGATATGTTTTTAGTCGTTCCCGAAATGGAGACATGTCGTGGTGATCATCGTGTTTTCGAAAAGACAGGACAGTCGCCAGGACCATCAAACGCTTGGATGGTGTTTTTGGGTAGATGATGGTGTTTTGAGAAGACGCAGGAGGAAGCGCACACCATTTGGGTGAACCCAGTTTGTTTTGGAGAAGATACTGAAGAGGCGCAGAAAGAGCGCACACCATGGTTCTATCCAGACTTGTTTTTGGTAAAGATGATGAAGGAGCACAGGACAGAACGCACCACACATATCCCAGTGAGGCAAATTTTTGGATAGAATGATGTAGAGGCGCAGGAAGCGCACACCATGGCATAAGATCAAGACAGTTTTTTGGAAAAACCCGGAGGAAGAAGCGGAGGCAGAAGCACAGCCCATGATAGCGGGCGTAAGGAGTCTTGGAGAAGATGATGGAGAGGCGCGGAAGGAGCCGGATGCCATCATACAGACATTACTCATTTTTGGAAAAGTTCGAATAAGGGGTGACTGTTAAGAAACTAGAAGGGAGTGACTGAGGAGAGGTATTTATACACGACCAGCGGTGCACGTGCTACAACTAAGGAAAAAAGTTGAGACGGTTTGAAATCTTTAAATCCTGGATGTCTTCTAGGGATGCTTACTATAATGTTGTAAGCCATAGCAATATCTAGTATACATAACCCCCCTTGTTCGCACCTTTTTGATGCCATCCCGGCACACCTAGACGCCCATGCCTACCAACCCCTCCTTACTTCTTCCCCCTTCCCTTGGATTTACTCCTGGTATTCCGACTGGGCGGGGGCGTATCCTCACCACTACTGTCCGCCTCAGCCTCAACAACCACACCCTCATCCTCCACCTCCACCTGCTCCATCTCCTTCACAACCCCATCTCCACTCAGCCTATCCTTCGCCTTCCTCTCAGCCTCCCAATCCCTAACAAGCCTCGTAACATCATCTTCCCGCGGTTTCTCCTTCCCATTCCACGCACTGCACCCACCACATCTCCACCTCCCAACATCTTCAAGCGTACGTGCACCGGGCGGCGCTTGCCCGTTCACAAGTCGGCACTCAGAACAGATCAAGACAAAGCGGTTCTTAGCCTGTGTTTCGTCTTCGCCAAGGAGAGCGTCGAGGATGCGGTCGTACCAGTGGGTTTGTGTGAAGGCTGCAGGGGAATCGGCGGTGTATTGTTTAGTTAGATCGACGGCACCAGTGTTGAAGGCGTTTGGTGCGAATTCAGCGCCTGGGGCTTCTGGTGGGGGCAGTTGCTGTGGCAGGGATGGGCCCTGAGGGGACGAGACGTTCGAAGGGGGTTTCTGCGGGGTATGCGGGAGTTGCTGGGGCTGGGGTCGCTGGATGTTTGCCGTTGGGGGAGGAGGCATGCCAGTGCGGGGACCTGGCGGCGGCGCTGGCTTCTGGGGGCCTTGGGACTTTGTGCGACCTGGAGAGTTGCCTTGTTGTGGCTGCTCGGGTTGTTTGGGCGAGGCGCCATATTTCTCGAGTAATTGCTGGGTCGAGTTGTACTTGGTGGCCTCCTTGAGGCGCTCGATGGTAGCGTCGCGTTCCTTGTTCAGCTTCTTGAGGTAGGCTTCAGTGTTGCGGATGCGGTAGTCGAAGTAGCTCATGAGCGCGTAGCGGAGGCCGTAGATCCTGGAGGGTTAGATATGTTCATTGCTGCGATGACGATGGACATACAAGACAGGCCCGCCAGCCACCACACTTCCCTCAATGGGACCCCAATTCTGCCAGCCCGTTACGAAAGTGAGCACGACCGCGACCAGAATATACGCGAAGCCGGTATACAGCGTCCACATGACGCGAGCGCGTCGCGAGAGCTGCTTCTGTTTGTCATTGCGCGCAGCGGCCCTGTTGATCTTGCCAGTAAGAGTGTTGAGCGTCCTCTCGAACGAGGCGGCATCTTCGCTACCCTGTCACAGTCAGCAAGCGTATTAGCGCGTAGTTAGATTCGACGTACCTTCCAAGGCCAGAAGGACACCATGTTGGCTCTGGTAGATCGCAGCCCGGTGTGGGAGCTAGATTTCTACCGTTGAGGCCACCGAAGCGTTGCTCGTGTGTGGACCACTTTCAGCTGCGCGACGTCAGCGGGTGTCGGATCGCCAGCCGGGGGGACCCTGGCGGGAACGATGTCACGTGTGACAACTTTCCTCGCGGAAGTTCCGAGCGGAACTGGTCGTTCTTCACACGCTTCGATTCACTACATACACACCGCCCCGACTCTACACAAGATGGCGCTAGTTGCATACCGGAATCTGCTGCGATCCGCGCGCATCGCCTTCCAAGGTACGAAAAGCGACATTGACCTACTTCCCGCGCTCACACAGCACAGGCGACATGAACACCCTCTTCGCCGCCCGCACCGAAGCCCGTAACAAGTTCGAGGCGAACCGCAACCTGCGAATTGGAAGCGAGGAGTTGCAATCGTCATTAGTTCACGCCGAGGAAGTGGCCAAGTTCCTACGAGAAAACGTGGTTCAAGGGCAAGCAGCGGACCCAGAGGGCGAAAGCTACAGTATGCCTCTTGCATGATTGTATAAGGGCTGGATAGCTAACGCAGGCAGAACTACGGATACACGAGCATACCGAGCGAGGCGACAACGAGGATATCAAAAAGGGCAAGGGAAAGAGTACATTGGGAGGCACAAAATGCTGTTCCTCCTAGGCTTTTATGCACATCGAATGAATCATGATACCCATACAGTCCAAAACGCCGACCCAATGCAAGAAATAAAGACCTAGTTTCCGGCCAAGCTGGCGTACTGGACATCGTCGTCCGCTCCCGGGGGTGGTGCAACGACCATGCTGTCCAGACTGTTCTGTGGTGCGGCCTCAATGGCAGCTTGAGAAGCAGCAGCCCGTCGTGATGAGCCAGCTACTTGCCTTCCTTCCTTCGCGTACTGCATTCTGACGTTCTGGTCCAAGCTGTCTAACTGCTTCGGCTTGCCCCAAGTGACGCGCATAGGACAGCCTTTAATAACCACCTTGCCCTTCAGTGTTCCCGCTGCTGTCTCAGCGTCTTCCCGCTTGACAAAGTTGACGTATGCGCAATGCGCCCGATGTGAGCATACCAGCGACCGAAGCTGGCCGTATTGTGAAAAGTGTTTGCGGAGCTCGTGCTCGGGAAGGTCGTCTTCCACACCCGTAACGAAAAGCGATGCGACATTAGGGTCCGAAGGTGGCAGCCAGTCTTGCGGGTTTGGCTCCGCGGATGCGCCGCCCATACGACCTCCTCTTCCAGGCCTCATGCCTCCTCGCGCAGGCGTACCCCGTGAATCTCGGGTTCTGATCGGTCCAGGAACGTGACTGCTCTCGCCTCCTGCGCCGCCTCCGCCTGGCGCGGGTAACGCCTTTTGCCCACTCTCGCCCTCCTCAGCCTCTATCCGTCGCTGCTTCTTGTAGTAGGGCTCACTCTGCGCCAAACGCTTGAGTAGGTCGCGCGCCTTCTCGTCCGTCTTCTCGTATGCCTCCATCGCTCCACGTCCCTCTTCGATCTCTCTCTCGTGCTCTTGCGCATAGTACTGTCGGTTGATGTCGCTCTGTGGGCCGGGCGCCACCATCTTCAGCGCAGCATCACGAACCACGATGGGCAGACCGAATGATAAATCGAGCATGCAGTGCTGGCAGCAGTTCTTGAGGCGGGCGCATGTGAGGCAGATGTTGGTTCGCTTTTGTCGCGCGGTGCGGTCGGCCTTCCAGCGGAAGATGGTGAAGGGTCGCGTGCAGATCTTGCACTCTGCGCCGTAGTCCTCCTTCAGCATCTGCACATAGGTGCTATCCGGCAGGCATTTCTCGCAGACGGACGGAAAGTCGGTAGTTTCCCAACCCGATCCTACAAAAGTTAGTGTATGCTACGCGCAGTGGAAAAAGACATGACGTACGGTTCAGGTCGCTCTTGATTTGCGGCGGCATGGTAAGGCCTGCTGTGTAGGGTGTGCGACAGTGGCTGAGTTTTGAATGTAATCTCGCGACTCCGCCGAGCGAATCTGGGGACGTCGAGTACGCGTAGTGGGGCGCGGTGGTTGTTGCGACAGATGGTATGGGAGTGACGGTAGAAATCCAGGCACTACGCTATACGCCTCTTACGGTCTTGGCTTTCACGCGCTCGGGTGGCGACGACCGACCGCTAGCGCTGTTGACCAGGGCCGCGTACAGAGTCGGTCGTGATTGGGCGACGCCAGTTACCCCCTAAGAAATTCAAGTCCCAATCTCCTACCCATACCGCTCTTTCCTCTCCGGGGTCGTCTTTATAAAGTTTCAGGGTCCTGTCCTCTTCGAATTGTTTATTCTACTATCCGTTTCATTCACTTCACTCCCCGCATAACCCCATATCACTCTTAATACCCATCATGTCTCCCATTGCGCTCGAAAAGGAAGACCATTCTCGCGATGCCGAGTTCAACAAGGCCATGCACGGCAAGTCTGCAAAGGCTCGCGGTGGCATGACTGCCATGTTGCAAAAGGACAAGGCTGCCCAGCAAGCCGCTGTCGACGAGTACTTCAAGCATTGGGACAACAAGGCCGCTGGCGACGAGACCGAGGAGACCCGCAAGGTACGCATATGTGGCATTGTTGTATACCGTGTTTACTAACAGACCCAGGAACGACGAGATGAATACGCTACCCTCACAAGACACTACTACAACCTCGCAACCGACCTGTACGAGTACGGCTGGGGACAGTCTTTCCACTTCGCCCGCTACGCATATGGCGAGTCTTTCTACAAGGCCATTGCCCGCCACGAGCACTACCTCGCCCACAAGATGAACCTCCAGGACAACATGCGCGTCTTGGATGTTGGCTGCGGTGTCGGTGGACCCGCCCGTGAGATTGTCAAGTTCGCCGGTGTCAACGTCGTTGGATTGAACAACAACGACTACCAGATTGAGCGTGCCACTGCCTACGCTGAGAAGGAGGGTCTATCAGACAAGCTCAAGTTCACCAAGGGTGACTTCATGGTACGATATACCCTCACACCCCGAGTGTCCCTCACTAACTCCTGGTAGCAAATGTCTTTCCCCGACAACTCTTTCGATGCCGTCTACGCCATCGAGGCCACTGTCCACGCACCGTCGCTCGAGGGCATCTACAGCGAGATCTTCCGCGTTCTCAAGCCCGGCGGTGTCTTCGGTGTTTACGAGTGGCTCATGACCGACAAGTATGACAACGACAACCCCCACCACCGCGAGATTCGTCTCGGAATCGAGATCGGTGACGGTATCTCGAACATGGAGAAGATTGAGGTCGCGCTCGATGCCATGAAGAAGGCCGGCTTCGTGATGGAGCACAACGAGGATCTGGCAGACAGGGACGACCCATACCCATGGTACTGGCCACTCTCTGGCCAGCTGAAGTACATCAGCACCATTGGCGACATCCCCACCATCCTTCGCATGACCAAGGTCGGACGTGGCCTCATCCACAAGTTCGTCGGTGGTCTTGAGATGATCGGTCTCGCTCCCAGGGGTACCCAAAAGACTGCCGACAGTCTTGCCCTCGCAGCCGACTGCCTTGTTGCTGGTGGCAGGGAGAAGCTCTTCACACCCATGTACCTCATGGTTGGCAGGAAACCCGCCGACGCATAAGTTTTCAATTCTCGCCCTTTGCATTAGACTTCTCTTCGCATCTAGGACCTTGCTGGTCTGCGAGTTATTCCTTCGATATAGGAGCATCATCTCCTGGCATTTGCATCACGCGCATTGGAGACGCGCATATATACTGTAATATTTTGAAGTAGGGCACGGTCTAGGGACGGTCATGGTAACGCGAAATGTGGTGCTATAGAGAATAGAAGTAGTAATCGTCATCTGAATGTCTGGATCATTATCGTACAATTTGCACGCGACTATTAAATCACTATCCAGTAGATGCAATATGAAAAGGTTGATTGTCTGGTGAAAGCGACGTTGTTGGGGCGGACCATCCAGGGACCATCCAGACGCACGTCGGGTGTTCTCGCTATAGTGTGGTCCCTGCTCGAGAGCTTTGCCTAGCGCCGGCCCCAACGACTCGGATCTTCGCATCAAGAAATTGTCCAGCAAGCCCCAGCAACCACCACAAGCCTCAGCGGCCATCACTCGCCCACGGCACTTCCTCACCACACCTTCACCCTCACACACACCCCACAATGGCTGCTTCAAGGCTCCTCCGACCCACCTCCCGCCTCGTCTCGGCGTCGCGGCCAGCGCCCGCCTTCCGACCAGCTTTCCGCGCCGCAGCCATTACACCGTCAATTGCGAGGAGAGGATATGCGTCGGGCCAGAAGGAGATGACAGTGCGAGAGGCGCTCAATGAGGCCATGGCCGAGGAGATGGAGCGCAACGACAAGGTTTTCGTGCTCGGAGAGGAAGTCGCGCAATACAACGGAGCGTACGTCCCACCATGAAGAAGAGAGATGTCAGATCTGCGATAAGAAAGAGGAGGGTCCAATTGGGCAGAGAATACATCGCAGGCTATACACAACGGAATATCAATGGACGGTGCTGACTGAGCCACAGCTACAAGGTCACAAAGGGCCTGCTCGACCGCTTTGGTGAGAAGAGGGTAATCGACTCTCCCATCACAGAGTCAGGTTTCGCCGGTCTGACCGTCGGTGCTGCGCTCGCCGGTCTCCACCCCATTGTGAGTTCCTCAGCCATCATGACCCAAAAAGCAATTCTGACAGCGACGACAGTGCGAGTTCATGACCTTCAACTTCGCCATGCAGGCCATTGACCAGATTATCAACTCCGCCGCAAAGACCCACTACATGTCCGGTGGTATCCAGCCCTGCAACATCACCTTCCGTGGTCCCAACGGTTTCGCGTCCGGTGTCGCTGCTCAGCATTCGCAAGATTACACTGCCTGGTACGGAAGCATTCCTGGACTTAAGGTCGTTTCCCCATACAGCGCCGAGGATGCCAAGGGTCTTTTGAAGGCTGCTATCCGCGACCCCAACCCGGTCGTGGTTCTCGAGAACGAGTAGGTCACAACAGTCGCAAGACAAGAGACTGTGTACTAACACCCACAGACTTCTGTACGGTCTTTCCTTCCCCATGAGCGAGGAGGCCCAGAGAGACGACTTCGTCATTCCCGTAAGATACCCCACCATCATCCCACTCTACTTTCATACTAACAGACCCCCAGTTCGGAAAGGCCAAGATCGAGCGCCCCGGCAAGGACCTCACCATCGTCACCCTCTCCCGCTGCGTCGGCCAATCCCTCGTCGCCGCCGAACAACTCAAGTCCAAGTACGGCGTCGAAGCCGAAGTCATCAACCTGCGCTCCATCAAGCCCCTCGACGTCGAGGCCATTGTCAAGTCCGTCAAGAAGACCGGCCACATGCTCTGCGTAGAGTCTGGCTTCCCATCCTTCGGTGTCGCGTCTGAGATTATGGCGCTTACCTGCGAGTACGCCTTCGACTACTTGGAGGCGCCCCCTGCCCGTGTCACTGGTGCCGAGGTGCCCACACCATATGCCCAGAAGCTCGAGGAGATGAGCTTCCCCAGTGAGAGCTTGATTGTCGACTACGCGGCTAAGCTCCTCAGGGTATAGATTCTGGGACAATGAGAGTAAGAGGGGTATTGCGGTAGCCATTCTAGCGTTCTTGTGGATTCAGGTTTGGCGAAGGACCGGGATTTTGTATGATCAGACTATGACCATTTTCGGCTGAGGTAGACACACGTAGGTGCTGGGTTAGAGCATTTTCGATTGCATGTACGAGTATTCCTATTGCAACTCCATCTAACGACTTTGAAACACGAAGTCCGAAGTGGCTTTTCTTGTGGCGTGGTTGAGGTGGGTGGATAATAGGTCTTCGATTGATATGGTCAGGTCGTTCTCGGTTCGATGTCGTCTTGATTGTTCGGCTTTCCTTTCGTCTCATGCTAACTACATGGCTTACGATGACGGTGTTGGTATCTCACCACTTTTCTTTGTAGGTGAGTATACGGGGCTCTCTCACCTCGAAGCTGGGAGGGTAGTATGCCTGCTTCAGTCTTTTCCTATAGGTCTACTTCTTCACCAAAGTCTCACTTTAGTTGCGTTTTTCCTTTTTATGCTCTACTCGCTCATTTAACGTTATGCTTATGCCTCATACAAGACAGTGTTACGATGACTTACTCAAACGAACATGCATTGGCACGAAAGCTGGTGTGAGAAAGAGCACGGAGAAAGATTGACTAGCTGCGCGCTGGCTATACGGGAAACGATGAGGCTCCTGGTTTCCGTCTTCACTTTCATCGATGAACCCGCGTCTCGCGCTAGTGGGCTCCTTCCACTTCTAGAAGCAACCTCCAACTTTGCAATTTCTTGACCGCACTCTACAGCCTACCGTAGCAGCGCGACATCAAACACGAAACTCATAAGAGCGAAACGATGTCGACGCTCCAGAGCGCCACCGCAATGCCGGACGAGGAGCACAACAGCGTCGAGGTGTCGAGTGATCTTGAGGGCGGAGAGGTACGAGATACATGTCAGCTACGGAAAACACTCAAGACTCAGACTGACATTGTCATTCTAGGAGAACTACGACGCGTTCGAAATCCCGGCAGCAGAAGCCTACGCACACCTCCCAATGCCGATGCGCGACAACATCTACTTCTGCATCCAAGCCATTCAGATCAGCCACTCCGAGTGGAAAGACGCTATCAACGCCATCGACGCAGCATTCGAAGCCCAAAGACTTTTCCTGGACGAACAGCACGCCCGAGTCAAAGCCCAAGAAGTCGCCTTCGAAAAGAGAGAAGCACTCTACATCCGCCTGCCCACGAACCAAGCCGTGAATCTGGTTCACAACGCTTTGCTTGCGGAACATGCACATGACAGGGTGCTTATTACGGATATGTTCAGGGCGGTCAAGATGGGGAAGGTGGATGTGAGAGCTGCGCGGGCTGATGGATTGGCCAAAGCCAAAGAGGTCTACTTGAGGCAGCTGAAGGCTTTCAAAAAGTTGATTGAGGGCTTGAGTGGTATAGCGGAGAAGATGAAGAATGAGCGAGTAGTTGGCGAGATGAGGCTTAGTCCTACCGGCCCGGCTCTGGCTGTCAAGTCGCCTACTCCGGCATCTTACTCTTAGACCGCGGCGCGTGCACCTTCAATTGTCACGTCGTTTCGCACTCAGATCGGTAACGGTGCAGCATTGGCGGGCCTGCACCGCCGCAGTGGTTTGATGAGCGAGTTGGGAAACTCACCCGTATGTTTCTCTCTCTTCAGACTTGCAACAGTGACTGACCTCTGGGCTTAGGGCGCTTCGGCCGCTACCTCTACAGCTACAATCATCTCTGTGGGCCAACAGCGTCAGATCAAAGTCATCATCAAAGCAGCCATCCGTCGCTGTAAAGTCGAGAAGTCGCTTAATCTAGCCCGACTCAAGCAAGAGACTACCGATGCGATTGATCGTCGGCAAGCTGATATAGGTCTCCAATTGAAGAGCCTTACTCTCATAATGGAACGGTCAAAAATGCTCGATGAGAGGTCTGAGTCAATCAAAGGCCTAGCAGCAGTTCTTGCCGTTTCAGTAAGTTACTTCAGTCTATTCTCTGGGGTGACTGAAGAGCGCAAACACATTGCGGCGTCTCGCGAATTGGTTGTTTCAGAGTTAGATTCCGACAAAAAGCATTATGAAAAGCGGACCGAAGTCGCTACAAAGTCATATGATAGTATCGAGGAATGCCTAGACATACGAGAGGACAGTCTCGAGCGCCTCGCATCAATTCTGGGCATCTCGCTCGAGGATTAAGATGGACGGGTGTGTGCTCGACACATTAGCGACGGACCTGACATGACCTGAGGGGCAAAAGACCGGAGTTCGCGAAATACAACATCCTAATGAGGATACATAGCAGAAGATGGCGTTTTCAGAATCATGTGAGCTTTCCAAGTGCAGAATGCCAAAATCGCTAGTCTTCGTCTTTACGCTCACCTTCACCGCTGGCCTGGTGGTTTCGCGCTAGTCGCTCCTGCTCTTTTTGGAAGGCTCTCTGACTCCGACCAACACAACACGACCACAACGCCAACCGAAATCAATATTGCGGCGACGCCTGCGACTGTCGCGCCAACCCAATATGTCGTCGGACGCCATCATCGCGGGCTTAAAGCAAGGCAATGCGATCGAACTCGGTGTACTCAAGGACATGAAGGAAGGATTCGTCGCTCTTGCCGATGGTATGATCAACGAGTGTCTGAATCGCAGCGATGGGCTTGATGAGCTGACGGACAAGCTTCAACTGGTACATACTGGTATTTCGGTTTGCTCGACGGTGCTTGGACTAACGTTACACCTAGGAGCCTACGGCTACTACTGCGACGACCCTCACAGCGGATCAGAAACTTCATCTTACGAAGGCCATTAACGACGCTATCTCGGCCTGCGAGCAAGCTATCATCACCAATAATCGCAAAGAGGAGATGCAAGTTGAGCAAGCGAAAACAAGGTTCGCAGCAGAGGCACAGACAAGAAATGTTCTTGTCAATCATCTCAATGAGCAAATACGGATACATAACAAGAGAAACCTACTGATGGTCTTCATGCCTGAGAAACACGACATCCACGACTCGCTGACAGAACTACGGGCGGAAGAAAAGCAACATCTGGATAAACTTCGAC